ACTAGTTCATTTTAATCTGTGTGAACTGAACTTTAAGCTCCCTCTTATAAAGTGTGACCTTGCACAACACTGGTGTGAACGGTGAACTCCACCATGGCAGGGTACTGGGCTACAACACACAACTTGATTGCTTTTGATAGAAACATAAATGTATTGTTAAATTTAAGAATTTATACAGACAAATCTTAACTTTTGGAAGGCGAAAACAGGCCTCAGGAACAGCCTACAAGGGAAGCACTTGGGGGGGCTTCACAAAGATTTCAATATATAGCATGAAAATGGCTACATTTAGGATGATGATAGTGCTGCAATGGATCATGCACACTGTATTTATGTTATATGTTACACAGCTAATTTTTAAGCAATCCTCTCCTTGTTATCACTTTGCTTTAAGTATTGAATATACCAAGCAAAAAAAACCCACAAAAATCTGAGGAAAACATTAAGTTAGGTAGCATTGCAAGTCGGTACCAAGTGCTTTTTAGGGCATTTTCAATCCTATAGTTACTTTTCTCTGGTCTGAATCAGTGGATGAGTTGGTAAACTTGTTGTATTTTCCCCTTTGTTTTTGTTATTTTCTGTGTGAGTTAAACCAACAAACAAAAAGGTATTGCTAAAAGCCACGCGAGAACGTTTCCTCTGCTCAATGGTTAGGTCTATCTGAAGCACGAACAACAAGGTAAACACAGGAGAAAGGTCCTGAAGGAGGTCCTACCTGCTCAAATATCAAGAAGGCAACAGTTATAGTGCAGGTCAGACCTCAATTCATTCGACAAGCTGCTAGCAACAACTGATTTCACTCATCCTAACATTTTTTTTCAGGGTGGCGAAGTCATGGCCCGCCCTACTATCCCTCTAATTGACTTGTTCTCGTTGCCTTTAATGGTTTGGTTGGTTAGGTTTGGGCATTTGGAATGAGATTGGGTAGGGTAAGAATATCAGGGTAAGCCAATCAAAAGCAGGGTGGGACATATTGCTCATACTTGCAGTTGGGTCACATCAAGGTCGGATCACAAAATCTACGAACCGGTCCATAATACGTTTGTTTCTGCAACAAGACTACTTCCTCTACAAAGGTCTCAGTGCACTTGTTTCAGTCTGCAGTAAGTCTGCTGTGTTCCTGTCCAAACGAATGTTAGAAAGGGGGGAAGCGGACCAGAGTCTGATTTAACCGGACTAAACAACAAGAGTTTTCAAGTCTACTTTTTGACTGATCTGATATACAAACATTTCTTGGCAAAAGTCTTGAGCGGTTCCTTGTGTTGGGACAATATTAAACACACAAAGAACTTTGAGAACACTGAATACTTGAACAGGGTCTCTGTGGGGAAAAAATGTGTCCATATTTTCCAAAGTAAACCATTTTGCCATTGTGACCAAAACTCATGTTATTGGTATATGGTTAGATTTACAATAATACTCTTTAATAATAACTGAAGATAGTTATTATATACTAGGGATAATAATGTTATTGCTGCAATAAATATTACGACTGTGAGAGATTATATTCAAACGTTCTTGTACAAGCACACTGATGAACAGAAAAAAACATACTGGTTATATACATGTATATATATGTATACATGGCCCCAGACACCAACCCCTTTCTATCGAAATTCATGGCAAACTATATCTTTATTAAAGAAGCAAGGGCAAAATTCCCACTAAAACTATCAATATTTATAATGCTTTCCTGCTGTCCCTTCAGTGGACAGATTGGTAATAGCCTGAGTGAATGGGGTCAGGCCTCCAAATTCAAGGGCAAACCAGCCTGGGGGATGAACCTTCTGCAGTGAGTGTATAAGTGTGTGTGTGTGACACAAATCATTAGCTGACTCATTCTGTCCTGTCAGTTTGGGCATAAGACACCATATTTCACTTAAAACTGTGGCTTATTAATTCAATTACAGTCATTAAGTCTGTCTTTCAGAAGGGTGCTTTGTCATCAAAACAGCCTGTTTCATTATAATGTAAAAGGACTGAGATGCAAGTATCCTACAGTCGAAAGTGATTTCCATAGAAATGGCCGCTCTTGAACTCAGAGTCAAAGCCGGTCCTTTTTAATGAGACCGAAAGCTGTGCCTACTCTGGTGAAGATTCTTCCTAGAAAATCAAGATTTTGTTAAGAAGCCTAAATTAAAGTATATAGCTTTGGCAAGGGTTGACGTTTTTCTCTTTGTACAGACAGACTTGTCAAATTAGCCTAAGCTGTGGGAGAAGTGTTAAAAGAGGACACAGGCCTGATATAAAAAATTGACACTAAGAAATTGGACACTAATTCAAACACTGACTGCCTTAGAAGACATTGAATGTTTTAACTCTAAAACAGCAAGGCAACACTGATGAGGGCTGAAACGACGACTTGAGGCACTCAAGTAGTTAGTGTAATGAGACACCAGTAATAAACACTGCACAGTGTCAAAGTGTCAAGAGCATTGTGAGTTGACAGCGGCCATGCTTCTGTGGCACATTGGAAGTGTTTGTGTTTGGTTATAGCTTGTCCTGCAACCTTGACTACGACAAACATATAAAGCCTAAGTGACAGCTGCCTGCAAGGCTCGTATCTGCCAGTAAAAAAGGGTTAGAGCTTCTGTCGATGGGAATTAATATCCATCGGTAAAACACAAGTTTCAAAACATTTGTAAGTGTCGTGACATTATGCCAGTAGGGAAGCAGCAACACACGCCAGAGTTGACTTTCATATGTCACTGAAACGACACAGAGATATGTTTTTAAGCTATTTAAGAAGCCTTGAGGCCCATTCTTGTAGGTTATGTTCCAACAGCAGTTGAGAAATAGGCACTGAAAGTTACATTGCCATAGCATGTATGTGGGACTTTGTTTAAAATACATGCAGTGTTTACGGTTGGTCAGCTGTGGCTCATTACCCCACCCCGTCACAAGATGATGGGGTGACAGATGGTAATGACTAATAATTAATGGGCCCCCCCAAAAAAAAATAAGATAGGAAAATATACTGTCTGCTAGCTAGCTCTTTCATTGACTGTGAAAGACCATGACTCATGCAAGAACATGCAAGAAATGAAAGCAGACAGTTACTTCATTATCATCCAGCGTAACCCACTATGTGTGTTTTTATCCCACTTCGAATATTCTGGTTGTCCAGTGTCAGAACTAGCACCCTGCCCACCTTGTCTGGCTTCCTCTTCCAGCAGGTCAGTGTGCAGTGCCAGGTACCTCTCCTCATCGCACAGTGCCTCGATCCTGTCCTCTTCTTCCGACAGCTGGTAGGATGTATTCCATGACCCGCTGTCATACTCTGAAAGGTCATGTAAGTGACCACGCCCATCGTATCTGTTGGATGATAAAAAGGATTAGAGAGAAGGAAGTCGACAAAGACTTTTATTCACAACATGGACTTACTTACCAAGAGAGACGGACCTACAACACAATGCTCTACCTCTGTAAGTCTGTCAAGAGGGAGTATACTTCTAAAATACTACAAGTTGTGAATATTTCTCGAAATACTGACAACAAAATAATGCCCTACTTGTCAACAGTGCTCTTAAGATATCTAGCAAGCTTTCTGCTGCTATTTCCTTCCTTGACAAGTCTTACAAACCAACAACCCTACATCAAAAGAACAAACAAAAGAAAAACAAACAAAGCAACTCGCCTCTTACCTTACAGGGTTCAATCCCCCCCTGTAACACTCATCATTACTTCTACATCTGCAAAGATAGTTACATTCACACAAACCCGAGCACATAAATACCTATCCGTAAGAACCCAAATGGACGACATTTTCCAGGGTTCGTCCCTCTACGCCACCTCTCAGTTGCAGTTTCTTCATGAAGACAAAGAAATGGGGTGCTGTGGTTGGCATTCGGGGTTTGGCAGGACCCCTTAGCCTAACTTGCTGGGGAAGAAACTGGGTTACGTGATAAAGACACACATACAAAGGCTGTACAAATGAAACACAAGTTGGGGCCACTGCAGATCAAGGTGATTCAAAAGCATCAATGCATTATTATCAAGGTTAGAATGATTCATTATGTGTTTTGCATGGAGGTGGCAATTGCACATTGCTCCATCACATGCAGCAACATTTTGTACAATGGCTGACGGCACCTTTAAACCTTTTGTCGAGCCCCGCTGTTTTTACACTGTCGTTGTGATATTTTGAATCACCTTAACTGCAGTAACTTGAATCTTGGTTAGAATTTGCTCTGGCCTTGTGGATATCAGCACAGCATAATAAAATCCCAGGTCCTCTGCTTTGTGTACAAGCTACACATTGGTATTTTCTGCAATACTCAATTTGAGAAGGACAGAACGCATGGTACATCTTCCGTGTCACACTCCATTTTATTCAATCGTAAAGTATGCCTGCAGTAAAAAGTTTCCAGAGAAAATTCTCCCAACATGCCAAGACGCAAAGCCCACCTAAAAGCTAACTTAAGAAGTCTTAAAGATGATTAAATTTGGAATTTAAATCTCATTTTTTTGTGTCTAAAATACACCCTATCGCCAGTTCAGGAGGTACACAAACTAATGCAGACTGTAATAAATCATATCTTAGTAAAGGTTATATTGTTTATCTTTTGTTTAAACTGTTTTACAGTAGTTTCAATTCAATTTGCCTGGATTATCTGTATTAATGCTGTATTAAAGTGCAGTAGTTTTAGCTGGTGTGCCTAAAAAAATGGCAACTGAGTGAATACTGATAGTATTAAACTGGCAGGGGGGTTGCATCTTCGCATGTTAATCTAGAAACTTCAGATACCATTTGTTGTCAGTTCAGGACATCCAAAAACCAAGTTAGCAGGCAAGAAATCAAACATTCGTCGCCAGTAGCAGGTATTTCCAAGCTTCTGCAAGACAAACTCCAAGTGGTCCCTTGAATTTTGAAACAGGCTAACGGACAGGATAGATGGTTAGCATAATGTTTCGGTCTAAGTTTGTTCAACCGACCTATCAATCATGATGCTCTTGTCCCCCATCCACGGAATAAGATGTTTTCCTTGCTCGTGGTAAAGAGCCCTTTCGTCGTCTGGAAACAGTTTGCAGGCATAGCCGAACACCAGTAGGTCGGCGTATTTATCACTGTCACTCACATCCTTCTTCACCGGTTTGTTGTTGTGGTCTTTCTTTGCCGCTCCGCGACGATACATCTCCAAGTTACTCGTAGAAAACAAATTAATTTGCAAGACAGACTAGTAAAGACGGTACAGTGGTGGTTTTTTGAGAACCAAATAGCTTGCGGGTGGTCCAAATGTTACAATAATCCGTAGTGCTACAGCCCAAAACACAATTCTACGTGCCCTCAGTCGCCATGTTGGAAAGCATGTAAATGCATGTGTATCCGGTCCGGTCACTTACGACACTTTTCCTGCCGCATTAAACTTAACGTCGTGTAAAATATTTATACTTAAAATATGTATAATTTTTCCAGCCTTATATTTTTGTTATTGTTAAAAGCAGAAATTCTGTAAATGACTCTTTTTGCCACAGTTTTTTTTTCTTACGTCTGTTGAATGTGCTGGTGGTGAACTTTACACTGTGTTGTAACAGCGGAACTGAACTGAACTAACAAACCACATTACAATAAATTTAAGGCTACATTTCAACATTTATCAGTACCACATTTAGCATTATGGATCAAATGCAAGAGTACACTTAGGTTTTAAAATATTACCTATTGCCTCAGAGTAAGATAATGTTAGTAAAAGGAGCTGAAAGGCAAAGTGTAAATAAATCTTTGGGTTAAATCAGTGGGTCTTACCAGCAGTGCAGTGATAAAAATAATTCTAGGTCTTATTATACATATTCTTTTAGCCAGTTTACTACATATAATGTGCAATGAATGTTGATAAAGTGCAGTATCACATACTGTATAATGTTCAACTGTTAATATGTGCAGTATTTATTTTTAGAGGTGTCAGTTCATTTGTAATACAAGTGTATGCTGCTACCGGCATTCTGGCATATTAATAGGCAATAGATACATTATACACAGTGTGAGCAGTTAAACTGGAGTTAGTGGACTGCTATGTTGAATACATCCTTCTTTTGTCTATCTTTAATGCAGCATGGTGTTAGTTCATGGCAGTGGGATTTTCTATATATCAACATGCAGAAACTTAATACATGCTAAAGTGAGGTCATATCTTAATATCTGCTTCTAGCAGCTTATAGTTATCAAAAACGCAAAAGAAATGTAACGAGACAATCATTTTATTTAGTCTTGAAAATGGTGAAACCCCTGCTTTTGACATTAACTCCATGAATCTAGTGTATATTCACGTAGGCTGTGTCACATCCAGGTGAGGTATAGGTGATAGGGACGTATTTCTAGAGTCCTAAAGATTACTCTTCCATCATGAGTTGGATAGATTATATCAGCATTTCAAAGTAGAAAAGATGTACAGTAGGTGGGTAGAGAGGCGATGGAGTAATGCTAATCAGCCTAAACTGGTACTTTTTCCTGGGTATTGAGAAGCAGCCATGGGACCAAGTGCAAACTACAAGTTTTGAGTAAACCACTGAGTTTGATCTCCATTTATATTTTTAGTTAAAAGAAGATCAATAGTGGAAAACTTGTCCTTTTCAACATGCCTCTGTAATAATATCTTACACAAATCTGGCAGGACAGATGGTGGAACTGAAGCAGTCACTGTCCACCGTTTTCTCTGATGAATGCAATGCAGCCAAAAATATTTAGGAAGGAATAAAATACTGGAGAAGCCTGGGACGACGTTTCTCAGTATGATTTCAGGTGGATTTACTGTTTTCTTTTGCCAGTCGGGACATACATTAACACTTTTTATTTATTCTTGCGATATTAATTTTCCGCAGCCGCTCTCCCCGGGGGTATCAAACCTACAAACAGTATCTGACCTACACAGTCAAATGAGAGATGTGAGGGAGGAGAGGTTTGAATAAGTGCTCACATGCATAACAATTACACTTCATAGAGGTGACTGAAGGAGAACTTCGAATGTACTGCATGTTATATACTTTCCAAAACACACAAAAAGAGTAAGAATAAAGTAAATTACTTTGACTATTAAAATGAACATTTATTTGTAGGATTTTTAAAACCTGCTACAAACAGGTTTCTGTTTCTTAGTAGGAATTACATGATGCTTCGACATTCAGAGATACATTAAAGAGACCCACTAATTGGTCAATTTTGAAATAGAAAATGATGGAAGAAAATCAACACTTTTTAATTGACTATTGAGCTTGTTTCCTCTCCATTCTGGTTTTGGTTGTCTCAAGTGACTGTGGATGCCTTACACTCAGGGTGGAACCCAGTCAGCTGTCTGAACGAGTGGCAGCCGTAGCTGAGTATACAGCAGCATACTAAGCGTGTCACATGTTAAACCGAAGCAATGGCTACACTTCCATAAAGACTAATTTGTTGTTGCACCGCTTCAAAAAACATATTAGCGACAAGGAAGACACTCGCGTTCTACTGAATTATGCACTTTTCTTGTCTAGGTCACCACCCCCCGTCACATTTTCACAGTCAGTGTGTGTATAAATAATGAAAGTTGTGGGTGGGAGAGCTGTTTCATTTTTTCTTCTTGTTAGAGAACCACAAAAGAGGCGAGATCATTATTGACATCACCAAATTATGAGCATTACAGCAGTTAAAAAAATAATAATTTCTGTAGAAGCTAACTTGAAAGTCACCCACTTCATTCCAACAATCATAGCTCAAGAAGTCCTTAGACCTGACCTGTTTGGAGCTAGTTTTAGTCTAACAAATCTTAAAACTTAAAGAGAGATTTATTGAAAATCATTAAAGACATCAAAAGGTTTTTTTTTGGCAAATTTACCAAAAACAATTCTGCTAATTAATACCAATCAGGTGTATTTTACATTTATGTGGCATCAAACCATGTGGTGGATGAATAATACGACAGTAGCACAATTTGTATACGTGTCTGTATGAGAAACACTCAGATTAATAGGCTTCCTATGCATGCACACAAACAATAATTCTATTTAATGTCAAATTATGCATTACAGAAAATCTGAGTGGCCCATTAAGCCTAATGAAATACAGAGCTGAGCTGGTATACACTACAGTCACATGAAGGAGATGGAGCAGATTTTCTTTGCAGCCTTTGCCACAAAGCTTTTATCTTTGTCCACTCTATTATTTACCACCCCCGACTGTGTTTTGTTGAAATTTGTCCACAGGTTCAGACTAATTCTTAAAAGTAGGACGTAGTATTCAGACAATGGTTTGTATACTGGAAACAGTTGTGTGTATTGTATACATACTGGATCTTGGTGAAGTTTTAATTGTTGGTAAATATTCTCACCAGTATAACTAGAACATGACATACAGTATAGGAATATACTGTAGGTAAGTGTTGTCTGTCACACGGTTTCAATTGTACATTAATATGCAACACTTACTTGTGGACACTAATGCAGCATCATACATGCACTCAAACAAAATAAAAGATTAAATAATTTGAGTAAATTGGTGTCTTTGAGCTGTACAGTTTTTTAACAGAAACAGGAGTTGAGAAGGCGTTCAATTAAAAGAAAAACTGCATATCTTTCCTGATTAAAATTCAAGTTCAGTAGTCATTATTATGCTGTAAGTGCAGTCGAAGTACATTTATAAAAGTAGACACGTATTTATTGGGCTTAAGTCATAATTTGGCGTACTCATTAAAAGTGTTTTCACATTTGACAGGTTTGAAACCATGGAGTAACACAACTTTGCCCTAATTACCACTGCTGATAAATACATCTTTTAGGGGTTTCTTTTTTTTTTTCACAAGGGCTGGTACGTACGTCATGCTGGGCTTCCTTCATAGGCATCGTAACCCATTCTTACTCACTAGGTGATAATTAAATACCTTGAAAAGTTGTATTCACAGATGGCCAGGGAACCAACCATGAGAGTGAGAGAGCCATTTGGAGGTTAGTAGGCAGATGTTAAGCTAAGCAACAAAGGGGCTCTACCCTTGGTGGATAATTTATGCCTCTCTCCCTCTGTCTCCCTCTTTCTTTGCGCTTGCATCCCTATGTGTGGACTTGTGAAGAAGGCCAGATGTTTACATCTAGATGGCCAAGACTTGAATACAATATTTGTGTTTTGGCAACAGAAAGGCTGCACATTTTTGCCTATTTAATGTAATGTAATGTTATATTTTAAATGCATTTCAATGTAATGGTGCTCATTACATCCACTCCTTGTATTTTCTCCTCTCTACTGTTAATGTTAATTTAGACATAAAGTTTTCAGTGACTTATGACATTGTTTGTCTATCTTTAAGACTGATTTGAAGGTAGGGAGACACCATTTAAGGTTTTGTTTCTTTATTTACTGGTTTATTTAGCAGGGACACTGCACATTAATAAACATAGCTGTAAATGTACCAGAGCTGGCTAAAAGACTATTTTTCATCTGTACCCTCTGGATATAGTCACCCTAAAATAGGATATATGATTGACATTTTAAAAGTTATTGAAATAATTTATAAACATGCAGAGGAATAATAAAATGATTATTGACTTATATAGTAAATTATATTTAGAAATATTCATGAGGTAGCAGAAACATCATAGAGGACATCATTATCATCACTAATTAAAACATGCAACACATGAAACTGGCAATATTAATGTTCATTGTGCAAGACAATTTTGTGCTTCGTTATGAGGCACAAATTACAGTACACAGACTTAAAAAGTTACCCATACATAAATACCCAGCCACAGTGAAAGACACACATGGAGGCACACAATGAATGCCACAAAGTAGAATCAACAGCACAGGCAGACTGAATAATGCAAGGAATGATTGATTTTTAATGATGACTGCTAATTAACAATTTCTTTATATCATTTCTAAATAAATACAATGTATCCAGTTCTCTAATGTATGCTGGGATACAGTCCCATTCTTGTGCAGCTTTGACAGAACCTAGACTGACTAAAAGCAAGAATACTCTCCCATACAGTCTACTGAATTTGTTTTGTTCTGTTTAGTTTTTTTCTTCTTCTCCAAAATGACCTGTAGATACAGCTACAGTATTACACACTCATATGTGTGTTACTTTTCATATAGTTTGCCATGAAAG